CATGAGGCTGGGCTGTGGAGCTTCCTCTTCTGGTGGGCGCACAGAGGTGAAGATGCAGAGCAAAAAAAGGAATGTGCCCTGGTAGCCTCTGCAAAGACTTGATTTCAAAAGGAGCAGGATTGGGCCTGTGCACGGGTCAAGATCTGCTGCACTGCTTTTTCTCGGGTGTGCCTTTTGGACCGTGCATGTGCTGTGACACACTGCTGGTGTCATCAGTCCCCAGGCAGACACCAACGTGCAGTGCAGCCTGTTAATACAGGTCACTGAAATTCCAGATATTTTGACTGCTACAGAAGGTGGTCACTTCAAGTAGCATGAGCACAGGGAGAAAAAAACAAGGGGGAACTTGAAGGTCATTTTCCTCTCTGTGTTGGCACGTTGCTTTTCCTGATGTGGCCCCTTGCCTCGCGTGTGACATTTGTGGCTAAGGTGTTGTCATATTTCTGGTATGCTAACATAACATTTGACTGCCTTCCTCTGCATTCTTGTAATTAACTCCTAATATTAAAGCAGTTTCCATCTCTGGATTCCTCAGCAAGCTGATTGAAAGGCGATTTAATTGCACAGCATTGCCAAGAAACATGTTAGGTGATTGCTGGCTGTAGTAACAAGTAATGTGAAGGTAATAGAAGGTATCACAGGGACTAAGATTTTGCTGGCCATTAGCAGAGGTGACTTCAAAAAGCAGATGATAATTAGTATAGATTTCACTGAACCAAGTTTCCATCTGTTGCTAGTCACTGGATTTTGAGCTGCTCTCCTATTAAAGATTAGCATGTATGTTCCTGAATTCTCAATAGAAAGGACACTTAGGGGAAAAGGGTATAAATCAACAAATAACTGTGTAACCTGCAAAAATATAAATCTATGTAGATTAATCCATGTTTCCTAAATTGCATACTAGATTGCAATTCAATCAAAGGGTAGGGGTCGTGTGACGTTTATGAACATTTATGGATGGTATAAGCACTCAGATTAAATGTCAAACCTGGTATTCAGTTTAGAATCATGTATTATTGTTATTCATTAATATATAACAACAACAATTATATCCACTAAAATCCTCAATTTAATTTTGCTGTAATCTGTCTCTGCTGTGTCAGAGATGCAGTGCAGTCTCTTTGCCCCTCAGATAATTTAAAGGGCTCCACTGAATTTCAGCCCAGTCTGCGCTTTTACCCCAGCATGGCACTGGCTCCATTTGGGCCCCTCTCAATTGAGGAATTCTCTAGTGAATTATTTTCTTTATCTTCCACCTTGATTAAATTTTAGTTTTCATACTGAACATGTATAGTGCACCCAGAAGGGGAGGAGAGGCAAAACTCTGGATCTTAGATCCAGTTTACTGAGTATATTACACATGATAAAGCTGTACCCCTCACTGGCTCCGTATCAGTAAAGGGTGAAAATGCTTTGAGGCAAAACAGTCATTTTAGGATTATCTAAATTTGTTGTCAGTCCTTCAAGTCTGCTTCTTCCCAGTGTGGGGCTAAAGGGCTAACATTGCTCACCTTGGTGTGCTGCTTTGCATCAGAGAGATCCTAAATCACTTTGCAAAAATGGAGCAGAATCACTGTCCCAATTTACTGCTAAGACAGCACTTGAAGCAGGTTAACTCAAGCCACTTAGTGAATAAAGTGTAAGAAGCAACTGAATGCCAATTGCAGAAATTACTTTGGCACCTAAGATGTTAGTGTTGTTGAAAGGAAGCAATGCTTAAACTAACAAAGGCAATATATTTCATCACAGTTTACAGCCAAAATTTTGCTGACTTTCAATGAACTTCAACATGAACGCCTCATTCACTTTTGAAAATTGTACTTAGCATCATAAATCATCATCTATAAATCTATTATCTGTTTATATGATGTCACTCATGCCACTGGTTTTCACCATCTTAACTTCTTTTCTAATAAATAGAAATTCTTCAGTGTCTAGGAACCTTATTCTCATTAAACTCGGGGGGACTAGATTCCTAAATAGCCTTAACATGCAGACCTTGCTTGTCTCTTAGTCTTTGTGATTTAAATGGAATTTATTCATGTAGCAAAGAAAGAGAAAAGGAGAAGAATCTGACCACAGTGAAGCAAAGACAGGTTTAAGATTAGCCCTTGGCTGTTCTGTTCAATGGTCAAAGCATCTTCCAAGTAATCATGATTAATTAACACTAGGAATTCAATACTAAAAAAAGATCAGTGGATTCCATTGGTCCATTCCACCAGACAGAGCCATAGCAGGTTGAAAACAAGCAACATAAATAGAGACAGGTAACTATTCTGTTTATAACATAGAGACATGGTCAGCTTTCTTCAAGTTCATTTTCTTATGTTATTATATATTAATATGTCTTGAAGAAATCTACTGTGTTAATCTAATGTAATTAGGTTAAATGTCTCTAGTGACCAACAGTGCCATATGATAAGAAGTTTCACCCCAGCATTTTAATGGTTCAGGTTCTGCTCATGGTTTCAATTAAGTCAGCATAATTGCACAAGGCAGTGAGAACAGGATTTGGCCCATTTCTCTCCTGCATACGTGTTCTGCAGTTATCTAACCTGGAATGAATCACAGACACATCTTGTTTTTCCAGTACTTTACAGGGAAAATTTTGTTTTCATGTATTTTCTTTTGAACAAAACTGATAATCAAGTGTCCAGACCGGTTGCAATAATTTTTAAAAGTACAGTGTTTCAGTTCTGGTGATTTTGCTGGATTCTAGTGTGCAGCTTCTAGTGTATTGTGCCGGTCTATAATTACCCTACAGTTTTAATTAGGCAGGAAAATCTTGTTCATTTCTTAGAGCAAATTCATTGGTAATGTTTGTGTAAGTCATTACTCAGCATCTCCATAATCTCAGGCCATAATTTGTAGAATTCTTTGGCATCCATGTTGTCAAAATTGCTTGATGATTTCCCTTAAGAGAACTTGTTTTGTGTTGCTTATAACAGAGCCAAACTCTAATCTCAGGCTAAAATTTTCCATTCTGTGTTTTCCCCCATACTGGATGCCTTCCGTTTTTTTTTTTTTTTTTTTTTGTTGTTGTTGGGGTTTTTTTTTTGTTTTTTTTTTTTTTTTTTTTTTGTTTTTTTTTGTTTTGTTTTTAAACTCTGGGACTCCAGGGCACATTTTTTTGGCTCCAACCTCTTGTCTCAGGTTCTTCCCTGGTTTGTAGCTCACTGTCCCATTTGCCCAAAACTCTGAAAGAAATACTACCTTTGTTTTGTTTTGTTTTGTTTTGTTTTGTTTTGTTTTTTTTTAAACTCTGGGACTCCAGGGCACTCTGAAAGAAATACTACTCAACTACCAGCCCCTAAGAGTGTTTCACTATCATCTATTACAGATGAATCCACAGACTTCCATGGTTAAGTCTTCAGGAGAAATGTAAGAGGAAAATAGGGGGTACGTGCTTAGGAAAGGAGATTTTTCTCCACCAGGAAAACTTCCCTCTTACAGTTCATTAGAATAATGGATTCTTGAAAGCAAGATAGTGACCTTCTCTTCATCAGCTTGATCTTGCCCGTCCTTTCATTTTATGTCATTTCAGCTTTTCATTCTGCACAGAATCCATCCTGTCTTCTGTTTCATGCAAATCTTCCTTACATGTGGGAGCAGTCAGCTCCTTTACAGAGAAATTTGCTGTTAAAAGGGCCTCTCTGGGTGGCCTGTCCAAAAGATGCTATAAGCATCTTGTTTCCTGCCCTGCAGTTTTTAGGATTGTCTCTGCTCTTCGCTGTGTTTCCTACACCTTCCTTGCAAACCAAGCCCTGGATTTGTACACATGCTTTCTCTCACACTCTCCTCTACCAGGACAATAATTCCCACAAATAGTAGCTACAACCCTGAACAGATTTTCTGCCTGCCTTCCCTCTCTGTCTCTCTCCTGTGACAGCTCCTCTCTTTCCCTTCACTCTCTTAACTCAGGTTTATATTTCTCTGAGGTTTTTTTAATTGCTTTGAGGAATGACAGAGCTAATCTCACTCTGTAACTAGACAGGAAGCAGAAGTTGAGGGCCAGGTCTTAAGTGCTGGAGTACACCACATGGATCCCATGGTCGTTTTCTACTGTGCTCCTGGTCCCCTGATAACAATCTTCTGGAGAACACTGTCTGGCCTGACTACCCAAATTTTTTTCAGCTTGGCAAAGGGAAGGGGAGGCAGGACTGATTTGTAGCTTTGAACATTTGGGGAGCATCTGCCTTTGTTTTCTGTGTCCAACAGGAGTGTGTCTTCTTGTTACAATTCAGAGCATCAGGCTTTGATTAATTTTGTTTATTGCTTCATCCCAGGTTATTATGTTTTGGAAATAAATATGGAAATAAATATGTTGGCAGTAAAGCTTAGTTACTCCATTGTAGACCTGTAGTCTACCAGAAGTTTGCAAACCTTTAGCCATTCCACTTTCATGCAGTCTTTTTTTTTTTTCTTAGGGGTCTCAGGGTAACAAATCAATCAAGCCCAAGATACTGTGTTGACAGAAGGAACTAAGACAACACAATTTTTCTGTGCAGCTATCAGCTGTAATGTAAGCATTCTCAGCCCTAATAATAAGCCTAACCCCTCTTCTGTGAAGGTCAGGATCAAGAAGGCGAGTTCTGTTTCAGAGTGCTGTATCATCTGGCATGACTGCTAAGAAGGATGCTGTTCAAATCTGGCAGTGTTTTTGTGATAAGAGCATTTGTCCATAGGAGCCACAAGCCTATTTCACGGAGACTGTTGAACAGCCACCAGAGGATATTTAGTCTCGGCTGGCCTGGAATTATCCCAGGACTGAAAAGCTCCTCAGCCATTACCACTTTTCTCAGCTATGTAGTTCTGGGGTCGGGTAGTTTCAAAACTTCCAAGATATATGTTTGTGAATTTAAAAGATTTTTTTTTTTCCTCTGCTGTGGGAATTGCCAGCATCTGTAAATCTCCTTGATCCCTGTTTTATATTGTTCCACTGGTATCATTTAGTGTGTTTGTTAACAATTTGATTTCCTTTTTTCTTTCTCTCTTCTCAGATCACTCACAATCAGTTTGTGGCCTTTCTCTGCAGGAACCTTTCCTTGTCTCTTGTGTAAGTACTTATAACATTTTATACTTTTCATTGATATAAGTTTTGCCTTTTCTTCAAGTTCCATCAGAGTCAGCCCAGGGCCTCTGTTGCTTCCCATGGTCACAGGACTCAATACTGAATTTTCATTTTAATGCAGTCTAAGATTTTAATGCAGTATCACCTTATGGGACTCAGTTTAGTTCAGTGACATTGTGTGATTGATTAATCTGGAATTTATGTGCGCAATTCTGGATGACAATACGGAAAATTTCTGGTTATATATGGGGATATACATGTTCTGATGGACGTTATGCTGCTGTGTTCTAGTTCAGAATGAAATATAAAGTATTCCGTGCTGTGCAAGTGCAAAACAAGTACAGAAAACAGTCAGCTAGCACTGCAACCTGTCCATGCTGAAGTTTGACCCTGCGGTGAGGGACCCTTCCTTACCCAGTCCTGGCTGCTCTCTGAACTGCTCTTCTTATCTAGGTAGATTAAATGTGCTGCATTCTTATTGGCATCCAACAGTACCAGGATTAAAGATATGTCAGCGATTTCTTTGGAAGGTGTTGCAGGGGTCTTTTCTCACCTAGTCACATTCACTTGAGTTTTTCTGCTGCTATGTAGGTTGGTGATTCACTGACCTTTTTAACTGAAGAAAATACTATGTTTATGCAGATAATTGTGTTTTCAAGACCCAGAACAGGAAGAATTAATGTTTTCATGGTTTAAGTTTTGGGTTTTTTTCCTTTCTGGGGGGGAATAAAGGATGGTGCCTTTGGGAGTTTGTTTATTTGTTATCATTTGAGTTTTAATTTTGTCAGATTCTGACACACGATGGTTTTTCGCATTTGGAACAAAAACTCACATTTTTCTGGGATTCCTTCATACAAATTGGCAGTGAAATCTAGTGCTTTTGAAACAATGACTCTTCTTGTTGAAATATAAGGGGAAATATAGCACTACCACTTCATAATATTTACTATAGTTAAGTAAAGACAGACCAAAGTTTTCCAAATGTCCACCAGCATTTTAAGCCACTGTTTTGCGATGTCCAAGCTGAAGCTATTTTGTGAATGCCAAAAATAATGAAGGCTTTTAAATTTAGGTTTAGAACTCCACGTCCAAATATACCTGGACTTTGTGTTACTTCAGATCTCTACCTTGCAATTTAAATTCATGTCTCTTACCTGTTTAGAGAGAAAAGTAGATGACTGTTAAAGTGTCCGGGGAAAAAAAAAAAAAAAAAAAAAAAAAAAAAAAAAACAGCACAGTAAGAGAAATAGCTCTTTCATATTTAGGAGAGGGATTAAACCTCCAAATCTGTAAATTTATATTCAAGTTCTGTTTTGATTGTTGGTATTTCTTTGAAGGGATGTGAAAGTGCAAATGGACATTCATAATTTTTTCAAGGTGTTTGAAACCACGAAAGAGCTTTTTTTTCCCCAATACTGTACCTAAAATATGTGGGTTTAATATTTAAAGTTGACCCACTACTTTTGCAGAGCAGAAGGAAATGGCACTCTGCCTTCTCCCCCACCCCGTGGGCAAAAGAAGGAAATTAGCTGCAGTGGCTGCAGAAGGTGGTATGACAATGCCAGCTCCCAAGGAGATGTATTTGAGTTGACCTATCATGCCTATGGTGTCCCCATATTTCATTCCCTTCTCGTTTGCCTTTCATTAGAAGGTGTCCCAAATCTGTAATTTACAACATGCTGCTCCAGTTTTGCTCTGATATATTTGCTACAAATAAGTAGGAGCCTATGCATGTCCATAGCTGCCCGTGGCGATGTCAGGCCTGCGAGATGAGGGGAGCAGAGGCACCCAGAGAATGCAACATGGCTTATGTCTAAAGTGACATTTATTTGACTCAGAAAGGCAATTGATTAAAGGCCCATCGGATCTTTGCCATCATGTATTATGTATTTATCCGGCAGGGGCAGTTTATAATGGCCCCTGACAAATCCTATTATTTTTGTTGCAGTACTTCATAATATCAATAAAAAGCATTAATGATACTCGGGAACGAGAAGCGTTAACACAGCTTGTGTTAACACTTCCCACAGCAGTGGCAAAACCATTTTTGTCTGTGGCAGACACCATGTGCCTTCAACATTTGCACAAAGGCACCAGTTTAACGTGGTTCTACCTCTGCAGGGCAAGGCAGTTAGGTGGAAGCAGCAAGCTGGCTTCATGATAGGTAGGCATGTGGAAACCTGAGGCTGAAATCCCTCTTCGACAGTGCTTTGCTGTGTGACCATGCATTTGTTTTTTCCCATTTGGCTGCCTTTGTTTCTTGACATGTAGGATTAGAATCATGTATTCTCTTTCTTCTTTAGATCTGGCTTATTCCACAGCCAAGAAGGGCTTCTTGGTGCTTGTTCATTCCTAAATTAGCAAGCTCCATAGGAGCCCAACTATATCTCAGGCATGTCTTTTTCTGTATTGGCCCTCCCCTTTCTCTCTGGAATGCAGGTCCTTCAGGCCATTGATAGTCTGGGTTCTTTCTGGTAGCAGAAAAAGTGTAAATGGGACATTTTTACATTAGAAGCTGTTAATGGTACCTGACAAGCATGTTTCTGATCTAGATAAGTGATTTGTTCTGCCCTCTGTCTCAGTGTCCAGTACTGGGCTCTCTTTTCATATCCCTTCCCACAACTTGCTGCTGATTCAGTCTTCATCCTTCTCCCAGATGTTACATACACATCTGCCTAATTATATGGCATCAGGGTTTTCGAGGTGGAAGGATTTTGTCAATCTCCCCCCCAAACTATATTCCTACTTAAGAGGAATACAGTTAATCTCTGCTCCCCTTGAATGTCCCCAGGACTTCAAGAGGCACAGGTGTATTCCTTGTCAAAATCATTCTTTTCATGGAAGAAGTTTTCCAACCAGCCTGTAGCAGTATGGACATTACTAAGGTGCTTTACAGTAGGAGAGATAGCTACATAGGATAAAGAGAGACAGAAGGACACTTGTTTAACTTGCAGAGCACTACCTGTTCAGATGGAGCCCATACAATATTGAAAAGTTATCTGCTGTTAGCATTGGTAAATGCAAATCAGAAGTGCACCAAAGTGATCCAGACACAAGGAAGTTGCAGGACATGTTAACATAATTCCATGGATACTTGTCCATCTTGTTTAAATAGATTTCTGATGTAACCAGGTTGTACTGAGCTCCAGCATCACTCCTATCAGACTGAGCACTGATTCTAATTCTTGTTACTTGACATCCTGGTTTAAAAAAGGAAAAAGAAAAAAAAAAAAGGAAAAAAAATCCTAAAGGAAAAAGAAAAGAAGGGAAAAAGTGTAAAAAAAGTGCAATTTATTCCCCAGCTTCATGAAGACGTATTTGGTCAAGTAATGATGACCTAAGGGAAGCTGAGAGGCATCTTACTGATCCCATCATAGTTATGAGAACCATCCATCATATGGTCAATGATTTGTAAGTCAAAAGACACCCAGCAGTATTCCAGCCTGCCAGTCACCAGTTTCTGAGAATCCTTATTGACTTTACCAGACGTGATGATGCTCAAATAGTCTTTGATATCTATGTATATGTCCCTGCTTTGGTATTTGTTCACCACCAAACTGTCATCTGTTACCACTCTGAACCATTATCGTCAAATAGCAACTAATGAGTCCCCTCTGAATCCCTTTATCTGGTTCTGTGCTTGGTATTGCTTTGCAGATGAGGAACAGCAACAGGGATTGCTACATCAGGAACAGGGAGGAGGCATCTTTCCTCAGGTTTCTTAAGAAGCTCTCTCTTACTTGAGAAGAGGATAATAACCTCCAGGTCAAGCTTATTCATGAATCAGAAATGAACATTTGCAAAATGCCAAAAAAAGTCTACATGTAATAAGCCTTATGTTTACAACAGCTTTCAAGAGTTAGCGTTTTTCAAGAATTATCATAATTAATGTAATAAATAGGCATGTAAATTATCCAGAAGAATCAGTTGATCTGCTTCTGAAAATAAGGAGGTTTAGGAAGGGAATGGTCACCTAAACAGCAATCTGAGACAGGAAAGGAATATTTTTTCCCCCAGCTATTACATGTCTCCTGAAGGGAAGGGAATGTTCCAAAAAAGAAAACAACATGGGCAGAGGCAAATGAGAGAAATGGTGAAACAGCCTCAGAATGGCAGCAGAGCTGAAATTCTACTCTGGTGTATTTATAGAAATGAAACAGCATAACCAAGAGTACACCTTGGGATGAATGTCCTTGAGCAGTGCCACAGTTTTAAGCTTTATTCTTTATCTGAATATGTAGCCATCAAATAAGCAATAGAGGTGTATGGAAAAAGACCCTCATTATTTTAAAAAAATCTGTCAAAGTTCACAGGTTTGTTTTAAAACATCTGTCATAAAAATAGACCAAATACCCAGAAAACTCAAGACGTAGCCAGATTTACAAAAAGGGGCAAAATTTGGTCCCAGTTTTTAATTCAAGCATTAGTTTAAGTGTTGGCATTCAAATTGTTTAGCAAGTAATAAAGTCTGCACATAGCAGCGAAGTTGATGTGTGGATTACAGTAGAGGCACGTGTGCAACCTGCCTTCTAATTGCAATACCTACAATACTGGTGCTGGATGAGATTGAACTCAAGATTGGACAGCATGACAGCTGAAAATGTCACACCTTTCTGCCATTATGTGTACTAGCAATCTCTTTGTTCTGAGTTATTTTTCATTTACTTAGTGTAATATAAGGCATTGAGTATTAGCTATTTTTGAAATATTACACAGTACAACAGGGAAAAAAATTGAGTTTAACTAGACAGTTGTAGGAGCATAATATTTTTGGTTTAACTAGAAAAAAAAAAAAGGAGACAGAGAAAATGGAGTTGTTCAATGCACTTTTACCCCACACTGGTATAATTTAATATATTTGGATGGAGAAGACCACCTTCCTTTCTGAAGCAGTAGCAGCATTTCCTACAGCAGTTTGAACGTCAACCATCAAAATATTAAGACAGACCAGTCTGTTAGGTCGAAATCACTGTGCAAAATGGAAA